ATTATAATTTCATCTCCACGATAAAAATTATCATTTAAATCCATTAGATGGAGATGTTGTGGGGTTTTTTAAAGTGTATACTAAATTCTAATTGGGTAAATTACACATTTAATATTTAAATTTTCAGTTTTGGTCTGTTTTAATATCTCAAGTTTTAATTTTTCAAAATCATATCTAATGTTTAGTTTTTATTTCATTTTAGTACCCGTCGTTAAAAACTTAACACGTTTAGTAACTAAACTATATGTTTTGGTCCATTTTAGTACCTAAACTTTTAATTTTTTTCAAAACACAACGCTAAGTTTTTAACGGGTACTAAAATGAAATAACAACTAAATGTTATGTATGATTTTGAAAAAATTGAAAGTTTAGGTACTAAAACAAACCAAAATTGATAGTTTATGTACTAAATGCGTAGCTTACCCATTCTAATTTCATCCTCCTTTCATTGATTATTCTGAAATTATTGGGATCGTCGGTACACCCTATAGCGCAGCAAAAAAATTATCCAACAATCTCACCAGTTATCCATGTACGAAAATTTTGAACAACAACAAATCGGCAGTAATCATGAACATTTTGAATCCTAGCCTCCACGAAATTGTATTGGTATCTACTCAGTTCATGCGGTTGGAATTAATTTTCTTTTCTAAATTATTTTCAAAAATACTAGAAAGACTGCTAGACCATCATAACCTTTTATACGGCTATATTGTAACCTTTAGGGGTTTTTTATTCTGAATTTTTATTTATTATTCTGAATTTCATATTTATTAAAAGAATTATAATCATAATTATATTCTTTTAGTATTTATTTATTATATTTGAGATAATTAAAATTACACACACATATATATATATATATATATATATATATATATATATATATATATATATATATATATATATATTATATAACTTTAATTATATACTTCATTCATCTGTAATAAAATTGTACAAGTATGACACATTTAAAATTTGCTCATTTCAACCCTATGATATGACCCTGTAGATTCCTGTAACATTAGTAGTAATTATTAAAACCGTTCTAATATTACAAACAATAAGTGACATCTAGCAATGTATCATTGTCATCTAAGTTACAAGAAGTCATGATTCGACATAATATCTTCGTGACTAACTCTTTTGTGTATTATATCATTTTGTCCTTTGTATCTAGAATAGACACAAGTATCGGAATAGTCGCACTTGTGTAGCTCATCTAATATTTCTTGACATTTAGAGTAAACTTTAATAAATGAAAAACTTGTGATATCTCATATCAACTTGTTCAAGCATAGCCATGCATTTCGAGTCTCACTCAATCAAGTGACATGTGATATAGTTTATATTATGTAGGAAGGACAAATTATATCTTGATCATTCACACCTCACTACATATATTGTGATATGTTCAACATCAATCTTTATAGTGCAACAAATCACGAAGCATGTTTAACTATGTCAAACCATACAACTATGTACGTTTAGATATAAATGATCTCAAGTCTAAAGATCATACATGTAGTTATCACCATGAGCAATGTTGTGATCATCATATAATAATCCAAGACATATGCTCATAGCATGTCAATCCAATATATTGTTCTCTAGCAACATACTCATGTATTAATTTTGACATCTCTATGTTAATGACAACTCATGGTCATCAATCAACTCCATGTTAGCCTTAAACGTATTATTATTGTCCATGCACATAATAATACTTGACTAAGGATCTCTAATAATAATAATAATATTATTATTATATAGACTTTATTATCTTTCAATTTATTTGAAACACAAAATTATAACTAAAAATAATAACAACAATGTATTTATTCAATCAAACCGGTAAGGAAAATGTATCATTACAATCATCTCATGATTAGTCTTTAAGAATACTCTAACCGAAACTATTTCTCTCGAATCCATCCACAATTTTCAAACGACAATTTACAACACAAACGTTTTCCAAAATCCCACAGCTTCTATGGTTAAAATCTAAGACTAGTTTACAGACAATGCAGTCAGTCAGTACATATCTATTAAACATTACAATGTAAGCAACATATGAGAACCAATGTCACAGAAGGACCATGTGAAGCTAAACTAAGAAGAAAAACTACTTATGAATCTATTTCGGATTCAAAAACATCATAGAGTTGCGTGTTGTTGGATTTGTTAAAACTTGAAATCATTTCCTATGATCTGCTAGGATTTTGTTTTTTGTATTCATCAAGCTCTTTGTCAACCAAATCGCCGTCTCCCTCGATGAAACGGCTTCTTCCCCGAATGGCCTTAAAACGCCTGCAAGCTCCTCGAGCTTTTCTTGTTTAAGTAAACTTGCACAGATCTTCAGAAGTGATTCCAATGCTTCAGCTCTTTGTAGGCTTTGGGGATCTTGTTTGATCTTTCTTTTGTAATCGTGCAGCATTGTTAGTGTACTCATTATCGATCTTTCTTGCAGATTTTCCATTGTTTTATCTTGGTTTTCCGGTTGGAATCTCCATCTAGTCTCGATTGTTGTCTTTTCAGGAGTTTCTGGTGCACGTAATAAATTGGAATCTCCGTTGTTGCCTTTGGAATCCATCGTTGCCAATCCCTTGCAATGCCTTTCTTTATCATGCTTAACTTCCTTACCGGCTTCTTCGATCGGTTTAAACGGTTCGGCAGTAAGTTCTTGTCGTGCTTCTTTACCATGAACACTTGATGTACACTCCACGATTATTCTCGAGTTACCGGAATCGTCGGTTTTGCTGTCATGGAAAGTTGTTAATTCCTTTGACGGGCTTGTCCTTTCACCTTGTGGATTCCTGTTGTCATATTTGTTAGTCAAAGGGCCTCCTTTAGGCTTCCCCTTGATGCTGCTCACTTCGGATTTCACGGGGAGAAAAACAGGAGATAGATTCTGGCATTGAGCAAGATATGGCTGTAAATGTGGATGCCTCAAAAGCTCTGCAGCCTGAAAGAACAGGTAAATGCAGTAAATTTCATAACATGTCATGGGAAAAAATGATACCAGATAGTCGAACTTACGGTCTGTCGGTGTTCCGGGTTCTTTCGTAGCATCATTCTGATCAATTGCTTCCTGCAGACGGGGAGGTTCCATCGTGTTAGTTGATAGCTCAAAGTTGGGAATTAACTGATGAGCTATACTTACAGTGCAGATGAATACACTGTGGGAAGTGGAGAAATGGTAGATCTATTGATTTTATTGACTAATCCTGCCATATCCTATTTGAAACATTTGTCGGCAACTGAAACTTTAGTTTGATGTTCTTGACTGAAGAACAACGTCGAAACTACAGATTAAACCAATGCTTACAGGTGCTCTGAATGCAGGTTGATGGGCTGCTATTTCGAACATGCAGCAACCTGTATCAATATTTCAATTCCAAGGATGTCAACCACTAGGTTCATTGTCCTAAAAATACATACCCATACACATGCATGCACATAGGCATACACATATATATGTTACTCCAACTCTTCATTTTTCTAGAAGCTCGTAAATACGTATATGGGGTTATAACAATCCAAAGACCATCCACATATAAGGAAAAAGTTACAAAATCAAACATAATCGAGCCTGGACACAACCCATATACCACACTCACACCCGAGTCAGAGACAGTCAGTGAGTGTGTGTATAGATTACCTAGGGACCAAATGTCTGATTTGTAGCCATAAGGGATATCTGCAAGAAGCTCAGGACACATGTAGTTTGGAGTGCCCACAACCTGTGTAGAACAGGAGTAAAATTACACCTACATCAGCTATGATCTAACCCTCAAACTTTAATACCTTAAACTAATTGAATTTAGCCAAGAAAACAAGGAAAATTTTAGTGTCAACAAATCAAGTCTTTTTAATTTCAGATCCTTGAAGGGGAAAAAAACAGACAAAGAAGGTAAGAGGAAAGAAATGCAGGGGCATTACAGTTGAAGTGAGATCTTCTTTGTTTAGCAATTTTGCTAGTCCAAAGTCACCTATAATGTATAAAAATGAAGAAGTTCAGTTTTGAATGGTAATGTAAGCTAAACACAGAAAAACAAGCCTTAGTTTCTGACCTAACCGAATGTCGTATTCTGTAAGGAAAATGTTGGAGCACTGAAAATTTAAAGACAAAGTTAGCTGACAAAGGTATATCAAACAGAACAGGATTGTCTTAACAGAAAGTAAAATTTTAGATATAAATATATATATATATATATATATATATACTTTGAGATCCCTGTGAAGGACACGGTTGGAGTGAAGGTAGTCCACTGCTAGTAAGAGTTGTGTCAGCCATTTGCAAAGTTTCTGAAGAAGAAAAACGAAGGGATATGGTGAGAGTGGTGCGACCAAGTAGTAGTAAGAAGGCATAATGCCAAAATTATCCCCCCAATGTTTACTAAAATGGTCATTTTGACCCCTATTCTTTTTGTTGGAGCATTTTGGCCCAACGTTTCATTTTGGGGTAAAAGGACCCCTCCATGGATGGAAATCGTTAGTTAACAAACAGTTAGTGCCCCAAAATAGGAGACTTTTTACCCTAAAATGAAATGTTTGGGGCTAAAATGCTCCCGAAAAAAAAATCAAAATAACTATTCAATCAAATGTTAAGGGCCTTTTTGCCCTAAAATGACACGTTGGGGGTCAAAATGCTCCCGAAAAAAAAAGAATAGAGGTCAAAGAACATTTTTATAAATGTTGAAGGCTAATTTTGACATCATGCCTAAGAACTACGAAAGGATATGGTGAGAATCGCCTGCATACCTTTTCTGGAATGTACGTTCCTCTACTTTTCTTTATAATCTCAGCCCTGCAATAACAAAATTGTATATATTATCGTACCTAAATATGCTGTACAAATGCATGTATGTATGTACATATGCATGAATGTATGAAAACTTACATGTCTCCTCCCTCACAATAACTTGTCACAATGCAGACAAAAGATTCCAACAAAGAAAAGAATTTTGATTGTTTGATTTAGGAATCAAACCATTCAGAAATAAATAAATAGAAGTGAATAAACAACCTTTTCCACCCATCCATCCTTGTGCTCCACAATATATGGATTGTTAAGCTTCGCAATCAAATTCATCTACAATAGAAATAATTAAAATAGAGCTCGGTCAGCTTATGTGGTCACTTAAGATATGATATCGAATAATTTGTGTTCGAATCTCAACATTTATAGTCTCATTTCTGGTTCTCGAGCTATCAACTCTTTTCTACAAAGGGGAATGGAACATAAGATTTACCTAACTCAACAGGTTCCTATAGTTAGATCGGATCCCAACATCTGTAATCCTATTTTCTATGGTCGTGTTTCAACTTTTATTTTATTTTTCTGACTAGTAGTTCAAAATAAACCACTAAGCATGAGATATTGCAAGAGAAATCAATGTATGTTTGCTGAAAAAATTCTTAATAAAAGAGTGTAAACCTCTTGATGTGATGTACGCTTAAACTTCTCAGTTTGTTTAGCCAAACGGATCTTCTTCAATACACACCTGCAGATACATATATATATACACACACATACAACATCAAAGATTCATCAAAACAACAATAACCACACAATGAAAATGCAATATTTTTCAAACATATCCAAGATTTCTCGGATACATATATGTTTAATTATGCTCGGAGGGTAATATCTTCATACCCATATCCGGATTTGTGTCAGCCAATGATGTTAAATACTTATTAAGCATCTATGTTGCTTGAATATAGGTATGCTTAACACCTTCGTACTCATGTTCGGATATGTGTCAAACACCGATGTTAAATACTGATATCCAGATAAGGGCATGCTTAATATCTTCATACTCATATCCGTATTCGTGTCCGATGTTAAATGCCGACAATTAAAAAATGGAAAAAACAGTGGAATTCGAGTTATATCTCTTACTTTTTTCTCTCAGCTTTATGAAGAACAAGAAATGCAGCCCCAAAAGCTCCTCTCCCAATCTGTTCAATCACTTTATAGTCATCCATTTTCGACATAGTTTCTCTTTCTTTCTTCTCCATGGAAACACCATCCAAAGCCTGCACTGGAGCAAAGCTGAAAGAATCTAAGGCCTTTTCAATATGTTCTATGGTTTACCCTAAAAGCTTTAACTCTTTCATTTAATATTGTTTGGTAGCCATTCAAGGTCTACCCTATAGGTTAATATATGCATATATCTATATATAGATATATACATTCAGTACAGAGCATTAAATGTGAATTTAAAGATGACACCAGAAACCGAACCTGTTTTTTGCAGGAGACAATGTCACACCAAATTTCTGTTGAGTTGAGCCAGTGATCACAGGCAGAGGCAGGGATCATTCAAGAAACATGAAGCATTAAATACCATATTTATGAAAGATTCCGACGACGAGGACCCTTGTTCGCATATGCAAGTATGGTGTTCGATGAAATGTACGAATGGGGGATGAAGAGATTTAAACAAAAGAACAAAGATTGAAAGTTTAAAATGCAAAGAGTGGGAAAGATTAGAGGCAGAAAAAGGGAAAAGAAAGTAATGAGATGAAAAGAGGAAATAAAGGAGGGGAGGCCCCCCATTAGGCTGCAACAATGGCTTAGCTTCACTTAAAAGTTCAGTTACCACGGCTATTATGACATTTCCATGTGATTGGTGTGTTCATGTCACAGTCTTCTTAACTGAAAAAAAAATTACGGTGTTTTTACCGATGTTATTAAAACCGGATCGGACCGATTGATTTGATTGATTGAACCGTGAATCGGTGGCCTGTCCGGTCCGGTTAACTCCTAAGATCGGATTAGCACAGAATCAGTAAAGAACCGAAAGAATCGGCTGAAAATTGAGAAAATCGGGGTGAATCGGCTGAAAATCGACAAAATCGGTTTGAATCGCCGGTTCACTTTTTTTCTTTAAAAAAAATTAAACTAAACGACGTCGTTTGTTCAACGAGTCGAGTCAAATTCGAGTATTGCTGAGCTCGACTCGAACTCGAAACTTTAAAAGTAAACTCAACTCGACTCAAAAACTCACGAGCTAAAAATTATCAACTCGAAATATAATATTAAAACTTGAAATCGAAAAGGCTCGAACTCAAAAAAAAATTAGAAGTTCGATTGAAGCCTAAAATTTGAGCTCAATTGAAGCGAAAGAATAGTTCGCTTTGTGCTCACCAAAAGGCTCCATGATTTTGAATGTCAAATTACCTCTATTATTTATAGAAGTAAGTTGGGATGCTCTTCTATGTTTCTTAGTCATGTGTGATTGTTTTGTTCTCATATTTTTACTCTTTAAACTTTTGGGATACTCTTCTATGTTTCTTAGCCATGTGAGATTATTTTTTTAAAACAATTAAACCAAATGACCTCATTTGTTATGATTTTTTTAAGCCCCAATTTTATTTTTTTGATTATAGTTATATAATTATATTTATTATTTAATATGTTTTACCTTAAATATTATGTTGTAGTTGATTTGAATCATTTTGTTTCACTTGATTTTATGGTTTTTCATTTATACATGTTATGACTTGTGATATTTTTATACCTTTTAATATTGTAAACTTAAAAAAGTATTACATATATATTAATATTGCTTTTGAATATTATGTAAAATTAAAAAAATATATTATTTTATATAAAATCCGGTTCAACCGTGGTTGAACTCGGTTGAACCAATGAACCAGTACCTTTACCGGTTCAATATCCGATCCGATTTTGAAAACATTGGTTTTTACCCAAAAATCAATAATTACTTAATTTTATCGATCTAACACTCGTTTACTGACATAGATGGAAAATGCAGATCATCAAGCGCCTGAATTTTCATCCTAGCTGGCGCCACGCAACAAAAACGCGATTCACCATTTGCGCCTTTCATAAATACCCGCAATTCACCATCTGTCGTTCTCCCTTAGTTACCATCTACTTCTCCCCTATAAATATCCCTCATACAACTCTTAAATCACATAAAAAAACACTTTCATTCCTTTTATCATTACTTCTAACAAGTTTCAAGTGGGTTTTGTTATTATTTTTAAAAGGTAAAATTTTTTATTATATTATAATCATTAAATAGTTTATTATTTTATTATATTTAAATGTACTAATTTTTTATGTTTTGCAATTATAAAATGGAAGGTGAGTTATTGTGTTTAGATGGAAACCATATCTCGAGTCATTTTGTCAATACAGTAACATTTTTAAATTGTGTTATATTAATTATTGTGAATGTTTTATTTTTTTAGTATTCGTTTATATTTTAATTTGTATATTATTTATTTAATTATGAGAATGATCGTATATTATATCTATTTATTCGTAACGCTAAGTTAGAGATATCGAATCGTGTCTAGCCGTATTTAGCCGAGGCTGGATTCGGTTACATAGCTAGATATGAAGGGCATTGTAACCTTGAATCCAACATCATTTTTACGTTGGAGGATGTTTTCTTACATTTGGGGCTTCCGGTAAATGGGGATGTCATTTCTGGTGTGACAGATGGTGATTGACATTCCTTGTGCGATGAGTATCTTGGATGTATCCCGTCTAATTTCAACGTTGGTAGAATATCGTTATCTTGGTTGGCTAAAAATTTTCGACAATTGAGCGACAATTGTTCCGAGGAACATGCTAAAATATTTACTCAGGCTTGCATATTACGACTCATAGGATGGATCTTGATGCCCGATAAATCTCACAACCAAGTTCATTGTATGTGGTTGTGTCACCTCGTAGATTTTTTAGTTGCTGACTCATTCAGTTAGGGCTCTGTGGTTTTGGCATCTCTATATAGACAAATGTGTCAAGCAACTGATTATCGAAAAAATTCTATCGGTGAATGTCTCCTTCTTCTGTAGTCATAGGCATGATATTGCATGCACTTTTTATGTCAGGTCGTGAAAAACTCGTTAGTCTTCCCGTTATTATTGAAGTAATTTAAATACTAAATTCATATATAAATAATTTTTTGAGTATATAATGAATTGTTTTACACTTAATAGGTGGTCATGTATAAGGAAATATCATCGTGATATACTAGACGAATTGGAATAAATTCATCTACTCATTGATCAAAAGGCTGGTACATTAGTATGTATTTAAATTTTATTACTTACATTTAATTATCGTTATATAATTAAAATCATATTTTGATAAGAATTATATATATTTGTTTTAGTTTCAATGGACTCCTTATGTTACTGAATAAATGAGGCATTGCATCCTACCTCACTTGAGTGGCCATTAGATGTATGAATGGTGGTAGTTCCTCTTATACAATATGATATTATTGAGTGGCATCCCACTGATTGCGTGCTCTACTAATTTGGTTTCCTACAATCTATTCCTGAAGCACCTAAGAATCTCGACAATTTGTATAACATCAATGGATGGGACAAAAAAGAAGTCAACTGGCTGATAAAGCACTGCGAGTGGATAATGATTTGAGAAGATCGACGTGGGCGTATTCCCCGTAGGAAGCCAATTTATGTGGATCATTATTCGGTTGTGGATGACTATTATCAGTGGTTCAACACGAATGGAAGTCGTTCCTACTTTCCGAGGAAGCACGAGGTGGGAGCATTCATTGGTGTCGAGAAAAGCGTCTATCGTCACAGCATCATCGTCCCCCGACTCTTGGACTGAGAGTAGGCGCTTTCGATTCATCCTGAGCTACAACAATGGAACCATCACAACTGTCATTGTCTACACGGGTTTACATTCCTCAGCCGTTTTAGATAGGGATACAACCGTTTCAGATAACACCGTAGCCATTTCAAATTCCACCATAGCTGGTTCAGATGCCATCGCCGCAGGGTTTTATGACACCTCCTGGCGGATATTATAGTTTCATGCTTGTAGATCCATCGTAGGCTTCATATGTTGCTTATTTGGCGGGTGATGCTTCACCATAGACTCAGACACCTCTGACCCAGTTTTCGTAGTCATTGATGTCGATGTTTTCATAGTTTTCATAGTTTTCTATATGCAATGTGATGATTAGTCATACACCTCTAGGGTCCTTATTCTATGGAGGTGCTACATCATCATCCGTCCCGCATCAGAAAAATGTAACTGCTACTGATGTTGATGATGATGTGCTACTGATGTT